AAAAAAAAAAAAAAAAAAAAAAAAAAGCTAAAGTCATAATTAAGGTAACACACCAGTAATTTAACCACCTGCTAAAATAAAATGAAATCCTCTTCAGAGGAAAATAATGAAGTCCAAAATCTCTACATTGTATCAATACAACGTCCGTATACAATTAAAAATTATTAGGCATGCAAAGAAACAGGAAACTGTAACAATAATCAAGAGAAAAAACAGGCAATAGAGAGGTTGAGATGGGAACGTAGAAATAAACAATACAATCTCTGAAATAAAAAACTGAATAGATTTAACAATATATTGGACACTAAAAAAGAAAGGACAGTTTAAAAACATATCAATGCAAATTACTGCAAACTGAAGCAAAAAGAGAAAATAACTGAAAAGATGTCCTGGGACAATATCAAGCAATCTAAAATATATGTAGCTGAGTCTGGGGAAAAAAAACAGAATAGGACACAAATGTTACTTAGATAAAGAATGACTAAAATTTTTCAAATAGCATGAAAAATAGCAACACAGAGATCTTAGCTCAGTGAACGTCAAGCAAGATAAACCAAAGAAAGCAACAGTAGGAAGATGACAGTAAAATTGCTAATGAAAAATAAGAGAAAAAATTTTTAAACATCAAAAAATATATACATTATTTATATGTGTTATATTTTAGGGAGGTGTAATAACTACAACATACAAAGCGTGAAAAACAAAGGAGGCCAAAAATCAATGGAATGACATCTTTAAAATACTGAGAGAAAAATGTTTATCAACCTAGATTTTTATAGAGAGCAAAGATATCCTTCAAAATTGAAGGTCAAATAAAAACATGCTCAGAAACAAAAACTGGGAGAAACCATTGCCAGCAGAATCACAATAAAACAAATGTAATAGGTATTTTAGCTGAAAAAATAATAATAGTAACAATAATAACAACAATAACCTCCACAAAAAAAGTCAAGAGGGGAAAAACAAACAACAGATAGGACAAATAGAAAATAAACCACAGGATGGTAGCCCTAAATCCAACTATATCAAGCATTACATTAAATGTAAATGGAATAAACACACTAATTATAAGACAGAAATTTTCAGACTGGATTTTTAAAAAAATAATAGAAACTGATAGTCTAGTATTTTAAGAGAGCGATTTAAAGTATAAAGAGATAGATAGGGGGGCTTCCCTGGTGGCGCAGTGGTTGAGAGTCCGCCTGCCGATGCAGGGGACGCAGGTTCGTGCCCCGGTCCGGGAGGATCCCACATGCCGCGGAGCGGCTGGGCCCATGAGCCATGGCCGCTGAGCCTGCGCATCCGGAGCCTGTGCTCCACAACGGGAGAGGCCACAACAGTGAGAGGCCCGCGTACCAC